CTGCAATGAACATAAATAAGTACGGGGATAGGGGATCACCTTGGCGAAGGCCCCGAGAAGGTGAAAACTCCTGAAGCAGCACTCCATTGAACCAAACAGAAAATCGCACCGTTGTAACACATGGCATAATCCATTTAATCCACTTCCGGTGGAAGCCCAGCTTATGCAGAATGGCCTCTAAAGCTCCCCAATCCACGCTGTCATAAGCTTTTGCAAGATCCAATTTGTAGGCACAAAAATCTCCACGCTCGCCCTCATTCTTTTGAATAGTGTGAATACACTCAAAAGCCAATAACGAGTTATCAGTGATTAACCGGCCTGGAATAAAAGCATTCTCGGTAGGGCTGATAAATGATAATTCGTTCTAGCAGAGGTCTTAACTTGTTAACCAAACATTTGAAAATCACTTTATAGACCACATTGCAAAGAATAATTGGGCGGAAATCCTTAACACTTTCCGGATCATTAACTTTTGGAATTAACACAATAATTGTATAATTTATGCCTGGCTCCATAATTCCCTCCGGAAAAAACAATCGAACAGCTTTGGTTGTATCCTCTTTCAGAGTCTCCCAATGTCTCTGATAAAACTGGGTCGGGAACCCGTCTGGCCCTGGTGCTTTTAAAGGACCAATTTGGAATAAGGCATCACTGATTTCCTTGTCCGAGAAAGGTTCACACAGTCTCATGTTCATGTCATTTGTGATAATGGGTTCCAAGATTTGAGTTAATGGTTCCGGGTTTTGTTAGGCTTAGGCATGGTTCATTGGTTCTAAAACTCGGCCTAGGCGCCCGCCTAGGCGCCGCCTAGTCGCTAGGCGGTGGCCGGGTGCTCCGATTTCGCTCTATTCGGTGAGAAAAATTCTTTCGGGCCTAGGTGGGCTAGGCGGGCGCCTAGTTGGCTAGGCGGGCGACTAGGCGGGCTAGGCGGTGACTAGACAGCCTGGACTAAAAAATTTCCCGAACCAACTTTTTTTCCCGTTTATCTTAAAATATCATGTGATCAAGAAGTATTCTATTCCTATATAGATTATTTTCATATTCTCACAATAAAAAAATAATTTTAAAATATAAATAAACTTTTTAGAATGTATTTTAAGATTTTAAGAAAGTAAAAAACACAAATATCTTAATTTATTTATTAATTATTATATTATTGATGATTCTACTATAAAAAACTTAACATCTAATAATTATATGAGCTATTTCTATTTTCAAAATATTATAAAATTATTAGTAATATAATTAAAATTCAAAGGAAATAAATAGAAAACAAAATCTGGTGGAAAAATACCTAGGCGCCCTAGTCGGTGCCTAGGCGCCCGCCTAGGCGGGCTAGGCGCTAGGCGGCCAGTCACCGCCCGACTAGCGCCTAGCGCCTTTTAGAACACTGGCTGGGGCTTAGGCCATTCGTACTAGTGGAGTGTAGGGATGGCAATTGTGACCGATTTGATGGATACCCGCACCGAACCGCTCCGATCATAATGGGGAAAACTGCATTGACGGATAATGGATATGGGGCGTTTACGATTTCACACAAGCCCGACTCATTACCCGCCCCGCACCCATCTTGTTTATTTTTAGTTATATTTTTATTAAATTCTTTCTATTAATTGTCTCACAACTAATAAATGATGAGATTTTTATCTTTTCATTGTGTATATATGGATGTACTAACTATAATGTATAAATGAAAGTTCATAATAGATTTTAATAGTCTCGTTTGGTCAATACCATATTTTTTCTTGATTAATTATTTTTCAATATAAGTTTTTTAGGTTCAAATTAAGTTAGGTTGCCTTCTTTCTTTTCTTGTAGATGCACGGAACTTTTAAGTGGCATATCACGTCTATAGTCGTCTAGGCGTCCCATTTATTTCCTTTTAAAATATTAATCTTTACATTAAAATGTCAATGATTCATTTAATAAAACGGTCATCAGCGGTTAAAATCGTTACCCGTTGGAGCGGTTTTGATTTAGATGAAAATTACCCATTGGATAATGGGGCCAGTTACGAGGTGGGGAAGTTACCCAACGGGGTGGGTACGGTTATATGCATAATCATCCCTAATCCGCCCGTCGCCATCTCTAATGGTCTAGTGGAAGGCCAAAACTTTAAAAATGGACACTATCAATATGAAAACATTGTTTAGGCTCCGATTTCCCTGCATTTAATGACCGCCAATAAAATACACTCAGCATATTTATTTACATACAACTCTACTAAAATATTAATTAAATTATTAAAACTAATGTCTTCCTTATACTTTTTCTCTGAATATTTATGAAATAAAAAAATACACATTTGATGTAAAAAGAAATAAATTTGATTAATTAATTTTTAACGTTTTGCGGTTAACAAAATAAACTTAGTTCAAGTACAGTTCGATTATGAAATATTTAATTATTTGTGAAAGTTCCATGAATTAAAATTTTGTGTTTTTGGAGATTCAAGAAAACTTCAACAGGTAAAACTTAAGATGTTTTTTTTTTCATTTTATGTATTACATATTGGTGTCATATGAAATATCATAACAATTATGAATTTTAAGTCTTTTCTTTTTTCTTTCTTTTTTCCTTTTCTCATTTGTGTCAAGCCACCCTCTACACTTAACCCCTTCATACCCTTTTCTAATTTTAATACCCTTTTTAAACTCTCACTACATACTCAAATGGGGCCAGTTACAGGGTGAGGAAGTTACCCAACGGGGTGGGTACGGTTATATGCATAATAATCCCTAATCCGCCCGTCGCCATCTCTAATGGTCTAGTGGAGAGGCCAAAACTTTAAAAATGGACACTATCAATATGAAAACATTGTTTAGGCTCCGATTTCCCTGCATTTAATGACCGCCAATAAAATATACACTCAGCATATTTATTTACATACAACTCTACTAAAATATTAATTAAATTATTAATATTCTTTTGGGTCCAAAAAGAATTGAGTATATATTAGAGGCCCAATGTGTAGGCGACCGTAGTGTTGATGCATCTTAAATAAGCTCATCCTCCCTATCTTCTCTTTACACTTGATCAAGTAACATTTAGGTCAATAATTTTTAAGAAATACTCAAGGAAAAGCTCTTAACATTTTTTTAAACTCTCCGATTTATTTTTTCTTTGTAATCTTTAAATTAGTCGGGATTCCAGCTTGTAGCATCTGAACGGAGTATCATTTTGACAAGAAACCTATCCGGTTATTTTAATATTTTTTAAAAATATTTTAGTTTTTTTATACTAGGTATGTTACTAGGATCAAATAAGTCCTATTTTAGAATTAATTAGGTTTGAAGTACTAAGGGTAGAAAATTAATGTTTACTCCCCTAGTGAATGAAGTTTTAATTTTTACGTCTACCTTATGGGTACTCTCATATTGAACAATTACTATTGTTGTATTTGTATTTTATGAAAATAATTTTAACAAAAGAACTTTTTCATGTATCTTTCATATTTTAAAATAATTTTTACGTCTACCTTATGGGTACTCTCATATTGAACAATTACTATTGTTGTATTTGTATTTTATGAAAGTAATTGTAACAAAAGAACTTTTTCATGTATCTTTCATATTTTAAAATAGTTTTGATTTAAATAGTTTCTGGTTGTTAGTCTCTCCTAAGACCGAGGAAATTTCAGATTTGCAAGATAAGACCGTAATCACAATTGTATAAAGCTATGCGCCCTAACAAATATCCTACGTACTTATCCGACTAAAAGCTCGATTACTTTGAATTGAAAACACAAGGAATAAAATAAAATATAATCAAGAATTAAAGTAGAAGCAATCCTTCTTTTAAAACAAAAATAGAGGCAATCCCATTAAGGAATGATCGAAAGAATAATAAAAATCTTATCATTGGATAATGATACCGTAGTCCTTTTTTCAAATAATATTGAGAGAACTATCAAATAAGTCCTCGAACTTTCATAAAAAATGCAAATAAGCTCTTTTATAGGAGGCTCTGTCCGGCCATTGACATTTGGAGCGGTTTTCGGTGAATTTTTTTGATGGAATATTTTTATCATCATCTTCATTAAGTCTAGTTTACTCATACCAAATTTCAGCAAAAAATTCAATCGGGAAGGTAGTCAAATAAATTTTTGAAGATAACTGCGCAGTTAGGCAGCACAGAATATTTCAGAAAATCATTTGAGTGTCTTCTCGATTGAAGTTTTAGCTGATATTTGGTACGGGTAAACTAGACTTAATGAAGAAGATGATACAAAAATTTCATCAAAAAATTCCACCGGAAACCGCCCCAAATGGCAACAGTCGGACAAAATTTCCTGTAAAAAGGACTTATTTGTACTTTTTAAGAAAGTTCGAGGGCTTATTTGATAATTTTCTCAATAATATTTTCACAGTTTTTTTGAATAGTTGTTTTGATTTGATTTGATCGAGTTGGTGTTATCTCGTCTATGCATTAGTATTATTGCATTTTGATACCTTACCTTTTAGATGAATCAAATGAGTGCTATAAATATATACAAATGTTTCAATTCACAATAATATTCAAATTTCTGGCCAAAAATCATACGTGACGGCCGAAATTCTATGTGTAAAGTCCATTGCACCTTACTTTTGTGTAGGGTGGACTCTACGAATTGAATTTGAATCGTCTTGTAGGATTTTTTGATCCCAATTTCAATAATATTCTCAATTGAAATGGTTGTATATTGAGTTATGGTACCAATATGGTACCTAATACTACGAAGTATTATGTAGTCTTGTGTGTGTAAATTTTAAAGATAGTTTTATATTCATGGCAAGCTAAAGTCCAAACGTGGATCCCCTACCCGACCATTGTTGATATGGTCAAGCTTCGAAAGGATATGCCCACAGTCCACGTTAATTTAATGATTCGATTATTCACTCAGCTCGTTTGATATACTATACTCGGAATTAGTGATTTCATTCCAACCGCGTTAACTATAACCTCCCTCCCTCAGCTCCCACTCCACTATATAAATCATACGCAAGCCCAACTCCTCCTATACACCAAACAACCACATACTGTACTATCTATACAAAACACAACCACATACGTATTGAATTTATAAGAATGGCCAAGAAATCAGGGAATGCTCTCTTCGGACTATTCAAGCTGAAGAAAAAGAAGGAACGACGGGACGAAGGAGATTCCGAGAGGGACGAGGCGGTGGTGAAGAAGGAGAAGGTGTACAAAGTATATGCGAGCGACGAAGATCGTCTCAATTGGGTGGCTGACCCTCAGATTGATGCCAAAGCCACCGCTTTCATAAACGCCAAGAGACTGCAGTTTCGGTGCAGCAGCAACACCAACGATAGCGAGGACACCGCCGCCTCCACAACAACAACAACAACATCCAAGCCTTAATCTCAAAAGAATTTGAGGCCGAGGACACCGCCGCCTCCAAAGAACATTAATTATGTCGTGTACGTTTTGTTGTGTACATTATCATATGTAGCATACAACTTTGTTTTTGGTAGCAGGGCAGCTTTGTGAATGAGTTAACCGCAGCCTTATTTCGTTTAAAATCCTAGTACGGAGTAGTTTTTTAATCTTCTAGCTAACTATGTCTCTCCGCTAGCTAGTGTGCTCCTCTGTGCACATCATACTGTATAGGAGAAGGAAATTCTATTCTCTATATATAATTATCATTCCTCTTTTAATTTATATTGTACTCTACACGACTACAACATACATGATCGATCATCAATACATATCAAGATCGAGCTAAATTATTAAAGGATCCGGCCTCTCATGTTTCCTTCTCTGTCGTCTAGATGAATGTAAGAATAAAAATTAAACCAACATATAAGTTTACAAAAGTAACAAAACAATAGAATTTGGGAAATAATGGCTTACACGTGCCTTGGCATTACATTTATAATAAAATGGAAAATTGGTTGTAGATAGGACTCAACAAGACGGAATGTGCATCCGTAGGACTCCAAATAAATTTAAACCTAAATAGGACTAAATTTTTGTGCTTTTCCTATTCTACCCTTAATGACTTTTCCGCACCCGTCAATTCCCCAAACTCCTAACCCTCTTTCCTGAGCAGCGGACCACAAACTCCATTGATGAAGGTGAGATGGTGACACACGATGACCACTGTTGCTACGGCAGATCCGACGCCACCGGGATGCCAATCTTTTATCAGAATGTCAACATAAATTCAGAATGCCATTTTATTGGCATTTTTTAAAAAATACATGAAATTTTTAATGAATAAGAATGCCATTTTGATGGCATTGTTGGATAATAATTAAATTAAACTTGAAGAATTAAATTAGAAGTCTTTTGATATTCCTTGTAAGTTTCTAGGTTCACTTAATGCCTATAAATATGAAAAATCTTTTATTTATTCTAGATTAATAATTGTCTAGGAATGTGAAAAGTCTAGAATATGGAGGGTTAGATCTCTTAAGAACCCCTCCTATAAATATCTCATCCATCCATCCATTGTATTTGTTGAGTCAAGTGAATGAAATACTATTCTCCATTCTAGTCTTAATACCTCCCTCAATTACTCTCTACAAATTGGTATCAGAGACATTTGGTCAATATAAACAACAATATTGCTCTTTCTTTTATCCCTCAGTTAAATAAAGAAAATTATGCAAAATGGAGTATCCAAATGAAGGCTCTTCTTGGATCTCAAGAAGATTGGGAGATAGTTGAAAAGGGATATACTGAAGTAGAAGATGAAGAGACATTAACGCAAGCCCAAAGAGAGAATCTAAGGAGATCGAGGAAGAAGAATCAACAAACCCTACTTTGGATTTACCAAGGAGTGCAGTCTTATGAACCTGCTTGGGAGAAAATAGCTTCTGCCACTTCGGCAATGGAAGCATGGCAAATTTTGGAGAATTCATTCAAAGGAGATGAAAAGGTGAAGAGGGTTCGACTACAAACTCTTTGAGGGGAGTTTGAAAAATTACGAAAGACGGAGTCAGAATCAATTGCAGATTATTTCTCAAGGGGATTGCATGTAGTCAACCAATTAAAAACAAATGGTGAAAGTATGGACAATACTCGTGTCGTTGAGAAAATTCTTCGCTCTTTGGATTTTGCATTTTACTACATTGTGGTAGCCGTTGAAGAGTCAAACGACTTGAGCACTATGACACTTGATCGACTCTCTAGATCGTTGGAAGCACATGAAGAAAAACTAAACAGGAAGAAGGAGGTGACAGTAGATCAAGCACCCCAATCAAAGTTGTCTCTAAATGACAAAAAGGAAGAACTTAGAAGTCATGGAGCAAATCGTGGTCGTGGAAGAGGAGGAAATTTTAGAGGAAGAGGCTCATATTCTCAAGGAAGAGGACCTCATGCCAACCAAGATAAGGGATGGAGTGAAGCAAATCAAAGCCGAAACTTTAGAGGTTCACAAAGAGGACGAGGGCGTGGATCTCAAATAGGAAGAGGTCGTGGCTATTTTGAATGCTACAATTGCCACAAACCTGGTCATTTGGCAAGCGAATGTTTGTACAAAGAGAAAGAAAAGCATGATGCAAACTTGGCGTGTGGAGAAAAGAATGAGAAGCAATACAATCAAAACACTTTGTTGCTCATGGCTCAAGGAGATGACCGTGAAGATGTTTGGTATCTGGACAGTGGTGCTAGCAAGCACATGACAGGTAATAAACATCTATTTACAAAACTCATTGAAGGAAACTATGGAGAAGTTAAGGTAGGAGATGGAAAGTCATACAAAGTTTGTGGTGTTGGTGAGTTAGAGTTCAAGACAAAACAAGGAAGAATTGAAAGAATGTCTGAAGTATATTTCGCTCCTGGCTTAAAGAATAACTTGTTCAGTGTGGGTCATCTTTTGAGGAAGGGATATGATATTCACTTCCGTGATATGACATGCTTCTTGTAAAGGAAAAATCAAGTAGTTGCTAGAATTGGTGTTGCCTCAAATAATCTTTTCTCGCTCATCCTTAAAAAACGAGACATGTCCTATTTTATTGGTGGTGACATAGGAGTTTCCAGGTTGTGGCATGAGAGATATGGCCACCTAAACTATGGAAGTTTGGAGATGCTTTCTAAGAAATTGATGGTGAGAGGTTTGCCAAAGATTGACCGCCTTAATAATGTTTGTGAATCTTGTCAGCTAGGAAAGCAACACATACAATCTTTTCCTTCACATACTCCATGGAGAACAAAGAGACCACTCCAGCTAGTTCACTCGGACCTTTGCGGCCCGATGTCAGTTCCATCTTTGGGTGGTAATTGCTATTTCATCTATTTTATAGATGACTATTCAAGAAAGGTTTGAGTTTATTGTGTAAAAGAAAAGTCTCAAGCTTTCGAGAAGTTCAAAGATTTCAAGGCAGAAGTGGAGAATTTTACCGGGCTAAAAATCAACACCTTGCGGACTGATCGAGGAGGCGAATATTTTTCAAATGATTTTGAAAAATATTGAAAAAATAATGGGATCCGTCATGAGTTGACAGCTCGTCATACACCACAACAAAGTGGAGTGTGTGAGAGAAAGAATAGAACAATCATGGAGATGGCCAGATGTCTTCTCAACAAGAAGAAATTATCAAGGGAATTTTGGGCTGAAGCTATTTCTTGTGCAGTTTACCTTATTAATAGGTCACCTACAAGAAGTTTAGAAAATTGCACCCCACATGAAGCTTGGTATGGACGTAAGCCAACTGTTCATCATTTGAGAGTGTTTGGGAGTGTTGCCTACTCTCATATACCAGATGCAATGAGGAGCAAGCTGGATGACAAGTCAGAGAAATGTATTTTTATTGGCTACAGTGAAAGAAGTAAGGCGTATAAATTATACAATTCGATGACAAAGAAGGTTGTGATAAGTCGGGATGTCCGTTTTGATGAAAGCTTTGTGTTCGATGAAGTTGAAAATGAGAAAGAAAAATTTTCAATTCCTCCATTTGAAAATGAAGAAGAAAGGGAGGCAACACCTGAAGATGAAAGAGATGATCACTCCTCATTAAGTTCTTCTTCAAGCAGCCTAATAAGAAAATTAAGGAGTCTTCGAGAGTTATATGAAGTAACTGATGAAGTTGAAGGAAACAATGCTATTTTCTTTGCTTTCTTTGCAGGTGAGGATCCAATTTCCTTTGATGATGCGTATAAAGAAGAAGTCTGGAGAAGAGCCATGAAAGAAGAGATTGACTCAATTGAAAACAATGAGACACGGGAGCTCAAAAATTTACCGCCACATAAAAAACTCTATTGGAGTTAAATGGGTTTACAAGACAAAGATGAATCCAGATGGCTCTATCAACAAACACAAGGCAAGATTAGTAGCGAAAGGGTACAAACAAAAGGAAGGAGAACATTTTTCAGAGGTGTTTGCTCCTGTTTCAAGACTTGAGACAGTCCGTTTAATTATCTCCCTTGCTGCCCAAAATAATTGGAAGTTGTTTCAAATGGATGTCAAGTCGGCATTCTTGAATGGTGTTCTCAAGGCAGAAGTGTATGTTGATCAACCACCGGGGTTTGTCAAGAAAGGACAAGAAGATAAAGTTTACAAGTTGAAGAAAGCTTTGTATGGATTGAAGCAATCACCCCGAGCATGGTACAGCCGCATCAATTCATACTTTGAGAAATATGGATTTCACAAATGTCCATATGAGCACACTCTTTTCATCAAAAGCGACTCTAAAGGGAGCTTCATGGTTGTTAGTCTCTATGTTGATGATCTCATTTTTACTGGAAATGATGAGAAGATGTTGAAAGATTTCAAGCACTCGATGAGGGCTGAATTTGAGATGACAGATCTTGGAGAGCTTCATCATTTTCTTGGCATTGAAGTTCAACAAAATGTGAAGGGAATATTCATTTCGCAAGAGAGTTATGCGAAAGAAGTTTTGAAGAAATTCAGAATGGAGAATGCCAATCCAGTCTCTACTCCATGCATCACTTGTTTGAAATTATCCAAGGAAGGCGAAGGTAAGCTTGTTAATACTACTTTGTATAGAAGTTTGGTTGGAAATTTGATGTACCTAACTACCACAAGGCCCGACATTGTATATGTTGTTAGCCTGGTGAGTAGATTTATGGAAAAAACTTATTCCAATCATTGGGAGGCGGCCAAGAGAATCTTGAGGTATGTCAAGGGAACTATTGATCATGGAATTTTTTATGAAGCAAATGTTCCGGTAAATCTTGTTGGTTATACTGATAGCGATCTAGCGGGAAGTATTGATGATAGCAAAAGCACTTCTGGATATGTATATCATCTTGGCACTGCCGCGATCTCTTTGAGCTCGAAGAAACAATCAATTGTGGTGCTTTCTACTACGGAGGCAGAGTATATCACCGCATCTTATGCTGGATGTCAACTGGTTTGGTTACGAGGGATTTTGGAAAGTTTAAAGCTGAAGCAAAACCAATCAACCACTTTGTTCTGTGACAATTGTTCAACAATTTCTGTTACGAAGGACCCAGTTCTTCATGGCAGGACAAAACATATTCGCATCAGATATCATTTTTTGAGGGAACTTGTGAGTGAAGGAGAAATTCAAGTGGACTATTGCAAGACCGAAGATCAAAGAGGCGACATTTTCACAAAGCCACTTAGTGCACAAGTTTTCAAAAAGGTGCAGAAAATCTGGGAGTTAGAAGCAAGTTTAATTTAAGGGAGGCATTGTTGGATAATAATTAAATTAAACATGAAAAATTAAATTAGAAGTCTTTTGATATTCCTTGTAAGTTTTTAGGTTCACTTAATGCCTAGACATATGAAGAGTCTTTTATTTATTCTAGATTAATAATTGTCTAGGAATGTGAAAGGTCTAGAATATGGAGGGTTAGATCTCTTAAGAACCCCTCCTATAAATATCTCATCCATCCATTGTATTTGTTGAGTCAAGTGAATGAAATACTATTCTCCATTCTAGTCTTAATACCTTCCTCACTTACTCTCTCCAGGCATTTTCCAAAAAATTGGCAATTGTAACAACCAAATATTATTTACTCGAGCCATTAGAATCCCCCAGAAGCTCAAGGAAACCACCTCAGTTTGATTTCAACCATTATTGCCAAATTCAGAGCAATTAAAAAAAAGATGAGGAAGAAGAAGAAGCAAAGAGACAACCGAGTATGTTGCAGGGCTTGGCACCATCGCCACCACACCGGATTCAGACGGGAAATTTTTGAAGAAATAGAGTGCAAGGAAGAGGCATATCTGTCGCTTACTGCCGCTGCTCTCCGGTGTGGCTACTGCTACTCGCCGGCGTTATTTGCCGTTGCTCGGCACCACTTCGAAGTTAAAGCCCATCTCGCTGCTAAGCACATAGATGCGGCATGTTTATGAGCGTGCAAGTGAGGTTATAAGCAGCCGATGGTTGAAATGATTAGAGGGTAAAATTGGGAGAATGGTTCTATTTAGGGAATAAAATTATACTTACTCCTATTTAGGAATTTCAACAATAATTTAGTCCTATTTGGGTAATTCCCCCTAATAAAATAGATTTATGGAAATTACAAAGTAGTCCTTAAATAATACTCCCTCCGTCCCATTTTACTTAGTCAATCTTGACTTTTCAAGTCAATGGAGTCTAACTTTGACCGATTATATGTCTATATAAAGAAAGTATTAATAATATGAAAATGATATAAAAATGTTCTTTGTTAAAAATACTATTATAAAAGTATAAAATTATTAAATTTTGCATTAATATATTAGTTTAAATAATTGGTCAAAGTTTACAATCTTTGACTAGAAAAGTCAAAGATGGCTAAGTAAATTGGGACGGAGGGAGTACATTATTACACTCCCAAACTGTGCAGGGGAAACAACGCGCAGATTGGTACGTAAAAATTCAAAACGCTGACTAAACAAATTTTTAGTAAATATATCGGCTAACTGCAATTGTGTGGGAAAGTATTTAACAACAAGACCCCCATGAGCCACACATTCTTGAACAAAATGGTAATCAATTTTGATGTGCTTGCTTCGATCATGCTGAATGGGATTCACCGCTAAGTATGAGGCAGATACATTGTCGCAATGAAGCTGAACAGGTGCAGAAATAAAAATACCCATGTCGGCCAACAGACTCCGAATAAAAAGTGTGTCCTGACAGTATTAGGAATGACCCTGTATTCACCTTCAGTAGAGGATTTTGAGACTGTAGGCTGCTTCTTGGACCACTAAGAAATTAAATTTGAACCCAGGAAGACCATGTAACGTCCAGGGGCTGAACCAGGGCACTGGGCTGACTGGGCCGGTACAATGAATATTTTTTTAAAAAAATTACACGGAATTTTTTACACTAAAAATATAAGCATATTTTGAATTTGGGGTGGGCCAGGGCCTAGCCTGGCACACCCCTGGCGTAAACAAACATGGATGAATCAGACTTACTCCGTGTAAAATGACGACTCAAGAGAAAACCACTGAAACGATGAAACCAGACTCGAGGAGCTTGTTTCAGACCATAAAGTGTCTTACGAAGGCGACAAACATGATTAGGAAAAGAGGGATAAATAACCATGTAAAAAGGCATTCTTGACTACTACTCCCTCCGTTCCATTGGACTTTGACAACTTTCCCTTTTGGGTTTTTCCAATAAACTTTGCCACTTTTCTATTAAAGCAACTAATTTGTAGTTCTGCACATTTCTCTCTCCTCTGCACAAATCGTAACCACACAGTTTTTACTATTCTTATTTCTCACCTACTTTGCACTTGGCAAAGTCCACCGGGACGGAGGTAGTATGTTTTTATTCCCGAAATAGGACTAACATGACAGTATTTACTGTCATCTTGTAGGCGTGACTGTCAAACAGTTGCAGTACAGTGCATTTCACATGACAATATTTATTTTAATCAATAACAATATTTTTCAATCATGACAATATTTTTCATACATGTCAGTAACAACTCATATTTCGGAAGAAAAACATAGTAATTTATTTTGGAATTTAAACTCTCATTTACTCCCATTTAGGGTAATTCCCAAATTCTAAACATAGTTGTATATTCATGACTAGCTAATTAAAGTCCAAACGTCGATCCCCTGTCCGACCATTGTTGATAACTTGATATGGTCAAGCTCCGAAAGGATATGCCCACAGTCCACGTTATAATTGAATGATTCGATTATTCACTCGTTTGATATACTATACTCGGAATCAGTGATTTCATTCCAACCGCGTTAACTATGACCTCCCTCCCTCAGCTCCCTCTCCACTATATAAATCATACGCAAGCCCAACTCCTCCTATACACCAAACAACCACATACTGTACTATCTATACAAAACACAACCACATACGTATTGAATTTATAAGAATGGCCAAGAAATCAGAGAATGCTCTCTTCGGACTATTCAAGCTGAAGAAAAAGAAGGAACGACGGGATGAAGGAGATTCGGAGAGGGACGAGGCGGTGGTGAAGAAGGAGAAGGTGTACAAAGTATATGCGAGCGACGAAGATCGTCTCAATTGGGTGGCTGACCCTCAGATTGATGCCAAAGCCACCGCTTTCATCAACGCCAAGAGACTGCAGTTTCGGTGCAGCAGCCACACCAACGATAGCGAGGACGCAGCCGCCTCCAAAGAACATTAATTATGTCGTGTATGTTTTGTTGTGTACATTATCATATGTAGCTTTGTGAATGAATTAGCCGCAGCTTTTTTTAGTTTAAAATCCTAGCCACGCTGAATTGCTAGTTGATTAAAAGCTACTAGCTATTGTTTAGGCAATTTTTTGTAAATTGAAACAATCAAATAGATAAGAGAATTATATTGGGCTACGTGCAAGAAATAAAATAATATATAAATATATCGATAGCAATTGAATGTAAATTCAAGAACTTTGTTCCAAATATCCTTCTTGAATGTCCAAGACCAATCTATTAATAATAATTGAGTTGGAAAGTTCCAACACTCTATCTAAAATACGACAACTAAAGCAAAATGAAGTTCAATACGGAGTATTAATTATGATAGCTATGTAAAGAGTGAGATTCCTCATGTTAGTGCATGACCATTATTCCTATTTATATAAATAAATTCATCACATTCTAATGCACCGTCTAACTGCCCGACATGTCCAACTCTTATTTCGTAGGATTAGGGAATTAGCTCTTTGACTTTATCACTTTGGCTCCACTTCTTTTGCTCCAAGACTTATTCTCTTTCTTCCACCCATGTTTATCCATTCTGTTCCTCTTTTTGTGCACTTGGACTTTGACTCTCTTAAGTCTAAGAGATGTGGGCCAATTTATTGAAGTTGATTTCCTGGCCCAACAATTGCCCCCTTTCGGCAAGTTGAAGCGTACAGACGCACACGTCAGTCCGATAAGCATCAACTTTTCGAAATTTTGAAAGAACTCAAACTTGTCATCATTGACTACTGCACTTATAGAATCGTCATTAGTTTGACAAGACATGTCATCAACCGTCACCCGTATGACGAGACGCTTCGTCAACTTGTCACTTTCCTTGCAAGTAGTTTTTTGATCGAATCCGTCTCTTTGACTGAAGCGACGAAGAACGAAGGCTGATCTCCTATCCTCTTCCTCCAAATTTGTGCTAATGATCACAACTAGACAGTGCTGACGAGTTGAAACTTCATCCAGGTCGATGTTGATGCTTCAGTTAACAAGGGTGATGACAAGTTTGGCTCTGTGGGTGTGAACGTATCCTGCAAAAACTTTAAACAAAATTTCGTTTGTATATTTAGAGTAATATCGTCAACTTCAGAATGATTGTTTGTTATTATGTCATTCGTATCGATGTCGTTTGTGTCGATGTCATTCGTTTCGACGTCGATTGGAATGTGTTTTTATGTATAGTTTTGTAGCTTGTGTTGTCATGCTCTTGGAGCACATGCTTCTGTTGTATATTTCTGTAGTTTTGGCCAAAACAATGCGGAGAATCGGTGGTGTTTATACTCATGTTTTGCGTACATGAAAACTCCATCTCTTCCCCCAAGATTCCGTAAGCCCCCCGTCAATTGTGTTTTGACGCTTTGTAAGGCTTTGTTTGATGTATGTTAGGATTCTGTCATTGTCAATTGTTCATGCGTAAACAAGAATCCGCTAACGTCGACCGTTGGCTTTTAGCCAACGGCCCTCCGATGCTTAAGTTAGTGATTGTTTATAGATAAATGAAAGTAATAAATTAAAAATATGTATATGATATGCCCCCTATCTCACGATTCTAATCATCTCATCAAGGAAGTGACTCGTCGCAGAAGTGAATCGTCACGAAAGTGAATCATCAGGGAAGTGACTCGTCACGGGAGTGACTCGTCACGGGAGTGACTCGTCACGGGAGTGACTCGTCACAGGAGTGACTCGTCACGGAAATAATGACATCATGTAAAAGAAAGTAATAAATTAATAACGAAACAACTTTAAGGGTACCGTATGTGACACCCTAAAAATTTAAATGCAAATAAAATAAAATAAAATAAAATAAAATAAAAATGAAATAAGATGTTTATTTATGGATCAGAGTACATTAACACACACTTCTATTGCATGATTTATAACGTAACCTTCTTTGAGGAAGTTAAGTTCTTCGGGGACGAAACATATTTTTTTAAGTGGAGTAGATTGTGACATCCCGAAAATTTGAATAAAATATAATAACATAATTTTGACTGAAATAACAAAAGTAACATTTTAACAACTTTAATACAAAAGTGTCGATTAATAATAATAATAACAAAGGTTGATTTTTTTTAAAGCATACATGGTTACTCATGACCTTCCATAATAATACATGAATACTAGTAGTTATGATACGGAATATATAATAAAGATTTTGGGTAACGGAAGGATTACTGCGACTTGCGAGTACAACGGCTGGAAACCCTAGGGTCTGGAATCTCCGTGCGTGCATATATATACAAATGATCTTTGCGCCTAAAACAAACACATGCAATCGAAGGTTATACGCAGTGCATACTACGTACATATATAGATACACTACGTATTATACACTCCATCTTCAACTACGTGCAAGGGAATTCGGTCACTAGCCTACGAAGACATTTCCTGCGCCACGTCGCTAGAAGGGAGGAATTGGAACGAAGCTTCATCGGAGAAGAAGATCCAATTTATCGCCAGAGAAACCCAGTTGTTCGTGATCTACCACTGGACTACTTGAGAGGTAAATCCGTTGGCTGAGATTCTGCCTGGGCGAAGCCGGAGGGATACCGGTCTGGAAGGGGCGTCGCAGCAAGCCACTGAACGAGTCACAAGAGAAGAGAGCTTGTTGCCAGACTGCTCCTACGCCAATCAAGAGGGATCGTCGGGGGTGACGGCAGAGCTACGGGTCGGACTTGCACGGAGTCGCCAGAAGACGGCCGATTCTCCAGCAGCGTAGGGGCTGCTTCTGAACGCCGTATGACGCCGGAGAACACCTGTCACTCTCCTATTCCTTTTATTTAACTAATGGGCTGATGTTTTTTTTATATAACCCTTGGGCCGATTAATGACATTAAACTAAAGATTGATGAACCCTTGTGAAATAAAAGAAACACAAGAAGGGGAATTGAATTTATAAATAAATGGTAGAGAAATCGTTATGAGATAAAATATTGATATTAGAATTTTAATATTCTTAAAAGGTGATTTTTGGAGAAGATCGAGGTAGAGATTTCCGTTAAGATTTATCGCAATTTGAGGTAAGTTTCATGTCAACCAAAATTATATCTTTTCTCGGAAATCATTTTTGAAATTATTTGAGTACTTTATGAGATTTCTAGTATTTACATTTGAGTATTTGGAATTTCTTATGGATTGTCATTGAGAATTATATTTGAGATTTGAGTATTGAATATTGGATGATATTTTTGAGTATTTGAGATATCTTACGAATTATTATTGGGATTATATTTATGAAGTATTTGGCTCTTTTGTGAAATTTTATTTTATGGTGAATTCGAGTGTAGTTTGTTGGAGTTAATATTTTACATTATGAATGATTTATGGAGTTTGGATTTCATATCCGTTTTGATTGAGATTGAATTATGATTTTGTGAGCACCCGGAGAAATCCGTGGTGTCGGTTTGCCACACCCGGATAAACGTGGAATATTTGGTGAGTGGTAATGGCTATAAGTCTAAATCCACCAGGGATACTTCCCAAAAGCGGAGTATCCCAACTTAATTGTAGTGTAGTTGGAATCCCCTAGGGGGTGTGCACACTTAAGGTAGGAGTTCGGCTTCCACTGGATTTTGATTAGATTGGTTTTGAGACTTTGAGGTGAATTCCACTAGACTTTGATTGGTTGGATATTGATTGGACTTTGGTCGGACTTGAGGTGAATATTATTTGATTGGATTGGATTTGAGGTGAAAATGAATTATTGAATTGATTGGAATTGTTGGATTATTGGATTGGATTATATTTGGATTGAATTTGAGTTGGATTGAGTTGTTAAATTATTTGTGGGTTTTTAAAGTATAAATACTTTTGGATTTGATTTGGTTTGATTATATTGAATATCGTTTATAATTATTTATATGTATTTTGAGATGAATATTTGATGTTTGATTTACAGTTTGGAATAATTGTGATCATATTTGGTAGTTTATGTATATTGATATTTTGGAATTATTATGGTTTTGAAATATGTACTTATATTTGAAATATTGATACTATGCATATTATTTGTATTATAAGAATATTTTATAAATGTTGTTTTACTTATTATTTATAAAGTATTTTGATTTTTTTTTACGAAATGTTTTACAAATACTTATATATTATTTTTTTTCGGGGTTAGGTGGAATTTACTTTTCTCTTTCTGTACTTGATTTTGTACAGGTGTTGAGTTGATCCGGTTGAAGTTGATTTCGAGAGAGCTTCCGCTAGAACACCAAATTAGTAAATAATTGTAATTACATTTTTTAGCATCTTAAATTAGTGAACATTTATATTATAAGTTTAATCTATTTTGAGTTTAAATTGTTTTAGTCTGTGCACTTGGTTAGGTTAGAACCGAGTGTGGCGGTAACACCCTATTTCCCTTTTGATTTCCGCTGCACAATTCTGATGTTTTCAAATAAAGATAATAAATAATGTTTTATTTAAAGGTATTTTTGGGTGGGAAATTTGGGGGTGTTACACCGTATTGCAGCTCTTTAGAAACTATCTACCGCCGGACGACATGCCCCCCCCCCCCCCCATCCGAGATTATAGTCAACTTGTCTTGTCCATCTGGTCATGGCATGCCGACTCATTCCTCAGGTCTTGAATAAGGTTTTCCAGACTTGTAATCATGTCTCCTAAGAGATTCTGATTTCCCATGCCCCCCTTCATACTCAACTTGTCTGTGACGCGATCGTAAGTCTTCTTCTAGACGGCTGAAAGCCAATGCCTTTGCTTGAACATCTTCGAAGGATCGACAAGGGTATTTCGTCAGTTCGCAATACAACTCTGAATCTCCATACAAATCCCTTCTGAATGCTTCAATGACGGTAGAGACGTCACATTTTGGGATCGACACCTTCCTTTTGTTGAATCTGTGCAAATAATCTCTAAGGGATTCACCATGCCTCTGAGTGACTTGATACAAGTCGCTGGTCTGTCTTTCCAATACCTTACTACTCGCGAACTGTCGATTGAAAAGATTGACGAGTTCGGCAAACGAACCGACGCTCCCATTCAGAAGATTGACGAACCATGTCAAAGCTGGACCGATCAATGTCATGCCGAATCCACGACACATACATGCCTCTTTCTGTTCAGTTCTAACAGAGACTGTCGACATCACTTGCTTATATCGTGCGACATGTTCTCCCGGATCCGTGGTTCCATCAAATGGCTCCATGGTTGGTACGTCAAATTTATTTGGCAGTTCGACACGAATGATCGAACCGTCAAAAGGT